CTGAGACCAAAACGTACACTCATACTGTAATTATACTCTCATTCAAACTACAGATATACCATTATAAGGAGCCTACGTTTAAGAGGAAGTTTAACTCTGACACTAGCTTCAGTTTTAACCTAGAGCAATTTCACAAAATGGTAAGCAAATAAAACTGAAAAATGATAATTACTTAGTTGTTCGCCTTAGCAATCTTTTGCATTTTACTGCTAACATTTCTTTAAAACACTAAAATGTTGCTAATTAAAAAACAACTTTTTACTAAGCATCATACCAGCTAAATTTCATTTAAAAATTTAGCACTCAGATTTATATCCACATCTTTGATTTTTTAACTGTTTTAATGTTTAATGCAACTGTGTAAAATTTGCTTTTATAACAATTTCTTCTTGTTGTTACTGTAGTCCCTCCTCCTTAAGGGCGCTCCTTTTGAGTTGATTTTTATGCACCTGCTCCCTGTTCCTGCCTCCCTGTAAAAGCCAGACGCCCACTCTGTTCTTGGCTCTGCATTGGTTCCTGTACCTCTGGATCTGGAGCGCCTGGTCCTGCTTCCCCCTTGTTCCCCCCGACCCTCCACCGGATCCTGCTCTGGTTTTTAATCCTGTTTGTCTTCGTCTCGGATGGACCGCCCGGCTTTGGACTTTTGCCCCGTCTTGGATTTCCCTTTGGACTCTGTTTTGGATTGTTTGCCCCGGACTCACCCCCTTGAACACCTACGCACTATGGACATGCCCCCTGTTTTCCTAACCCCTACATGCTTTTTTTCCCCGTGTTTTCCTCACTCATCCCCGGATTATGTCGTCTGCATAGGGTCCCGAAAGAATGCTTCCATTACACTTCTCAATAAACTCTGAATCCGAGTGAGATTTATGCCGTTGATCAACAGGTAATTTTAAATCATTAAAAAAATGACCTCCAATATTGTTTCCTAATTGTTGTTCTTATGGCTGAATAGCCTATTTATTCCTCTTGCAATTGTTGATACACTGTAGTTCACGTTTCTTAGGACAAAATTTTGGTGAGCTTAATTATTATTTTTTTAAAGTTTTACACAACAGGAAAATATTTAATTTGTAAATACCTGTAGATGCCTCTGATGACGGCACACCCATATATTGTTTAGTATCTGCCATTGAAACACAAATGACAAACTTCAACAAGAGCAGTTCACTTATATTCATCACCTATGCCTCCACTTCCTTACTGCTTTATCCAATACGGGGTCATGAAGGCAGTTGGAGCCTACCCTGGCATGCAACAGGCACACAGCAGGATACACCCTGGACAAGAAGCCACTCCGCTGCAGGGCACACACAGACACCCACACTCACAGCAGGGCCAATCGAATGTCAACACAGGTAGGACATACAAACTCCACACAGACAGCACCCCAGGAATTCAACCCAGGGCCCCAGTGCTGTGAGGCAGCAATGCTCACCACTTCTGCACTTCCCTATTACTAATCAGGATTTTACACAATCAAAATGCTAGTTTTCCAAACATTTCAACAAATGCACCTCAAAACTTTCACACACAAAAAAACATTTCCCTCAAGAAGCAGTTTGCATCTGCATTTCTGTGCCATATTTTTGTTTTACTTTTTGGATACAGCTATGCTATGACTTTCTGAGGTCTCCTCTGTTGATTGTGATGTTGCCTTCATAAGACCTTCCTTAATATCATAAAATGATTTGTCTTTTTTACATTCTCTGTCTTAAACTGAAATTAAGTAAACACCCTAACTAAATAATACTACAGATTTTTTTGGGATCTTGGATATTTGTGGACTGGATTCATCCATCCATTCTCTAACCCCTTCTTCCAATTCAGGCTTGTGGGGTGGCCTGCACAAGGCAGGATTCAACATACACTCACACCAGGGCCAATCTTTCCACAAGACAATTAACCTACAGTACCAGTATGTTTCTGGACTTTGGGAAGAAATCAGAGCACCCAGAGGAAACCCACGCAAACCAGGGGAGAACATTCAAACTCCACACAGACAGCACCGGGGTCTGGGATTCAACCCAGGCCGCAGTGTTGCTAGGCAGCAACACTAACCACTGCACCCTAACCTTAAACACTGAGTGGAGAATTGGTGAAATGAATAACATGGCAATTTTTTCATTAATACTTTGCTTATACTTGTTGTATATGACAGATGACAACACACCCTTACCTCCGTTTCTTCCATATTTCACGGCAAAAGACAAAAGGGTAATGAGTAAGATTACTACTGGCAGAATTAGGATTAAATGCATACGTCCTCCTAAAAAATATAAATGATTATAATGATATAAACACAATGATTTTTCATACATTTTCACCATGATACACAACATATTAACATTTTCCTTGTTTATACACAAAATGATAATTTTCCACTGCCAAAGTGCAAAATTGCCAAGAACGGTCGTTATGAAGACCATTAAATGTCACGCTGATGGAGTAATCAGTCGGACCACCAGTTTGAATAACACTGCCATTAAGAAAGGTGTTGTCTCGGCAACCGGCTCTTCCTTGGCAAGGTCTTTGGCCGGACACAAAGAGGGACAACACCCCTGGACAGGACAGGAGCCCACAGCAGGAAACACTCACAAGCAAGCAAAGGAGATTCCAAAGCCTCACCCGAGTCACGGTTCTGTTCATGATTAACATGAACATATTTAAAATAGGAAGCATTTACAATAAAAAGGATTTATAAAGGCATTACATGGGAGAATATAAAGAAGTTACCACAATAAAGCTACATTTCTTCAAAGATGGAAAAAAGATTCCGTATGAAAGAGCCTTTAAAAATGTTCAGCTTTTGCCATTTGAAATATATGTTTTCAACAATGTTATCGGAGTCTTACTTAATATGGCCATTTTTTTATTTTAACTAAATATAATACTTGAAAATATAAAAGGAGGGACACTAGTTGTGTCAAAATATCACAATGTAGTTTGATTGTGATACTAATTACATGATTATTTCAAATTTGACTGCAATCAGGGGGAAAGGGTCTTTATAAAACTGAATCACAGTGACATTTTTGATTGTCTAACCTGACAGGGGTTCTATGACAAAGGGCTCGCTCTCCTCTTCACTCTTGGGGTTTCTAACTTTACAAACGTATTCAAGGCTTTCATTTCTCCAAATCAGCAGCCTCTCAGCGGTGTTGCTCCATGAACCAACCCGTCCATTGATGCTCCAGCTGTATTCTCTAACGGTACTGTCGCCCTCACAGGATAAACTGCACTGGGTTTCATTGCACTTAGCAGTTATATTTGGTTTGGAGACCGGCCCTGTAATGAAAACACTGATTAACATCAATTAACATTTTTAGATAAAAAAATATATGAAATAATGAATAAAATGCAATCTGGTTTCCACCTTCTGTACCTTAGTGAAAAGCACAAAAAGCCTGTGAGCTTTCTCCAGTTTACATCCTATGTCCACCCATCATCAAAGCCTCTAATTCATGATTGGGGTCTTGACAAAAGACTGTGTGTCCATGGCAGGTATCCACAAGACACAGGTACAGGACCGCCAGGACAATTTAGAGACACCAGTTAACTTGGCCAGCATGCCTGTGGGAGGTGAATGGCATACTGGCTAAGAATGGCACCTGGAGAAAACCCACACGGACATGTGGAGGACATGCTCACTCTGAGACAACACCAATGCCACACCTCCACACAGTCCTACTTCCTACTGCGTGCATGGAGCAGAACTGTATTTCCCCACTATTCTGTTTGCAGGCCGTACATTCTACAGGAAGAGCACAAAAGGTTTCTGACTGGTTTTTCTTCCAGGTCACAGGCACTCTTGGTAGGCCCAAACCTCAGCAGCTGCTGTGAACTAAAGACTATAGACCTGGTCCCATCTGAGCTGGAGATGGGAACTGGGGATTGAGTCCATGTCTGCTGTTTGGATTTTAAAGAGATCCTTCTTTACAGTTTTATTCTTTTTCCATCTTACATTTTGCCTCGGATTTTGTTTCTGCTTGTCGTTTTTGTTTGTAACTAGGGAATGTAATGTAACTGAAAATAAAATGTAACTAAGGAAATGTGGGTAGTTTGCAGAAGGTCAATTTGCAACAAGGGCTCTACCGTATGCTCGCTGGGGTTCTCTCTCCTCTGTTATTCTTATTTACCCTAGTTTTGGAATGACAAGGGCTTGAACTCAAGGAGCTGAACAAGGTAGCATTTCCTATGACAGGCTCTGATTGTGAATCAGTAGCAAAAAATACTAAGGGGTAAAAATCTCAATTTCAGTGGTGAAGTTTCCACAGGGTTTCACCTAACACACCGGGTATTTGAGAAATATAATTGCAAACGTTTTCAAGTATACACACGGAAACTTATGTTCCATGCGTGTCCTTTCATCTCTTGAAAACGGAGCCGAATACTCCACCCTTTCTAGCTGCGGTCACTGAGTTAGTCACAGACAACCCAAGAATCAGAAAGGACAGAACTTTTGCTGACTTAAGCATCAACCTTGTCATCATTCATTCTAACCTTTTCAAGTTCCCTTAGAGGTTCCTAGTTCCTATTGAAGGAGGCTAGCTTCAGCACAATTTTAACAGTACCAAAATGTTCAGTATTTATAACAAATTACCAGCTTGGCTGAAATTCTCCATATTACATTTGAATTAATATTTTGTGTTCGTCTTTAAAAATCACCAAAGCTTTCCCAGTAAAAAATCAGGAAAAAATTCTGTAACTGAGACAGTACTTTTGACATGTTTAGTAAAAGTTGCAAGAAGTTCTGAAGGCTTGCAATCAAGTCACTACACACTTTAACAGGGTGAGTGAATAGCAAATCCAGGGCTTCAACGTACAGTACCCAGGGGAAACTAAAAACAAACTTAGAGGCAGTTTGAATTTAGAGAACAAACAGTGGTCCATTTGACCATGTAACTGGCCCAAAGGACTTTAAAGTGCAGGATGTGGGGAGTGTTTTCAGGTATGAAAATTAACATAGCAGCCTTTCAGGTGCAAAATTTAAAAAGCTTTGGTTGTCGAAGAAATCTGCCAGTTTCCATTCAAATGGTGCTGTGTTTCATGAGGATAGACTGAAAGGGTTAAAAGGGTTTTGGAGTATACAGGTCAGGCTGCCATCTTGGTTCACACAGGACTCTCATTGTGTCAGAAATATAACAGATTATCTGTCTCAGTGTGCTGTCACTCTTTTTGCAGTATAAAATTATAACCCATCTTCATACTTCATTTCTAACAGTTTCTGAGTGAAAACAAGGTGCACTCTGAGAGTTATACACCCTATACACACCACACAAATGATTAAGCACTTTCTGTATTCAATGGTATTGTTTAGGAAACAATTTAAGAACAGCTACTTAAACATGAAGCACTTTGGCGCTACATGGTTCTACATTAGACCATTTTCATAACAATTTCAAATATACAGTATATGGAAAGCCATTAAACATGCTACAAATGAGCACTGGAACCAACAGTACTGGCTGTGCTTGTTATGCCTCTATATATTAATAAGTATTTTGTTAATTATTTAGAAGTGTTGTTTTATGAAACTACACAAATGTGATAGATAGTAAAAGTACGAAATACTTACTGATTACTTCAATAGTGAACTGTTGTGTCTGCACTTTTTCATTGATGTGCATATCAACAGTATAACCACCAGAATCTTTCTCTGTTAAGTTTTCAATGGAAAGAGTTGCATTTTTTTCAAGATGTGTTCGTCCTTTAAAAGGAGGATAATAATCTGGTTTATTTGTTAAGGAATCCCATTCAGCAACCTTATTAACTCCGAAGTGCCATATGACCTCTTGAAATGACCCACTTAAACTTGGAGATATCTGAACGTGGCCATTTAATAATCCATAGATGATTTTATCTAAAAGAAAAAAAATAGTTGTTATTATTACTCTTTGTCTCCTGATTGTCATCTCTATTGCATCATCACAGCCATGTTCTCCAGCACTTGTGAGCTGCCTGTTGTCTGAGGCCCCTGAGAGCCACTTTCCCCAGGTCAGGGTTTACTCTACTGTGGGCACAGTGGGGCAAAGGGCCTCAGACCAGTCTGGACTCCCCGCATGCTGGTATGAGGGCTCCAGATTAGTACTGTAGGTTTACAAATGATCATTGCACAGCGAGAGAATATAAAAATAATCTGAAAAAACAAAAATGAAAATGACCAAATTTGGATTATTTAAATTACATGATTCATTGGTATAAAAAAAAAATAATAATAATAATAATAATAATAATAATAATAATAATAATAATAATTGTTTACACTTATATAGTGCTTTTCTGGACACTCCACTCAAAGTGCTTTACAGGTAATGGGGACTCCCCTCCATGTAGAAATAAAACATTACAGGCAAGTACAGATATTCAAAACTATTTTGTATAAAGATTCCTACCAGTTCAAGACAGGTAAAATACTTGCGGATCGGACTGAGATCTGATAATATCAGTAATTCTCCTTCCACATTCAACTACCTGTATATATGGTGTTGCTGCAACAGAATATAAGAACATAAACTTTCTAGCAAACACTAAGTACATCAAGGACCTCAGCACATAAAACCCACAGAATTTAACATAACATCATGAATTGTATTATCAAGATTTCAACTAGTGCTAAACTGTAATATTGTAAATACCACAATGATTAAATTATTTTTAAATGAGAAATAATAGTCACTTTAAAACTAAATTTACCTTTACCACAGATGTACATCTATGTTTTGTTTTCTCGCCTAAAGATACGATATCTATATTTTTCCACAAAATGTTAATTATGCTTAATATAATAACATTGTAAGTATTGGAGTCTTCCAAAGTTGTTTCTCCTTGAGACAAGAGAGTATTTATTGCTTGATTATTTCGTGTCAGAGACAAATGAATTAGGTTATTTTTCGATTATTATTAGGTTATGGTGCCTTTATTGCTTTAAGTATAATAAACTTAAGAGTTATAATCAAGATCCTAGTAAACTGTTTAGACGCGTTCAAGCTTTTGTACCATGTGTTGAATGAAGGGCATGTTAAAAATGGATATTTCAGGAAGTGCAATAATAACAGCTTCTCTGATTTTCTTTTCACCTCGAATAATGTGTGGAGCAATTTTATGTCTTTACCACATTCGCATTACACCCGATGCAACATTTCAACTGTTCATTTCATGTACATGTTATTCATGCTGATATTCGGTTGTTGAAATCTACTACGCCGTGGAGCTTAATGACGCGCCGCCTTGCAATGAAGGATCCAGATCTCAGAAGGCCCGTTCATGTCCAGTCTCATCCAAAACTTTCATCTTCAAGGTACGGTAAGAGATATACATCATCTCAGCTGGTCCACGAATGAGAAATAAAGGCAATCAACTCTTTGTACTAAATTATTCCTAAAGGTTTGTTCATTTTTCTTACCTCGGCTACGAGAAGACACTATACACGAGAAAAATAAACCTGATTTATTTTTAATTTCTTGTGAGACATACCTGTTCTGGCGCTACTGGTCTGCTGCAGCACGACAGGTAGAAGAATAAAGAGGCCAGCGTTTATTTGCATTTCTCTACCTTTACATAATTTAAGTAAAAAGAAAAGACTAGTGTAACAAGCGTCTACAGATCCCCGGGCGAGGCTGAATTGAAAGTGAAAGTAAGAAGTCCGTTTCCTGTTTTTTCCCCTCCTCAAATTCGCTGGAACATAAATAAAAAGAAATTTTAAAAGCAAAAGTGAAAAAAAAAAACAAATTTCCCATACAATTCGTATTCAGAAAAACTAAAATCAATCACAGTACTCAATATCGTAAGTAAACGTATGATTGTAATCATACTGTACATTTAGGTTTAATTTATTTGTGTTACTTTTTCGCCATCTAGAGATAAAATACACTGCTACACTTCCTTAATTTATAAGACTAATAATCGTCAATTGCATAAACCAGCAAGCACAGACGAATATATCTATATATTATTAATTAGTTCAGTAAATGTAGGGTAATCGCACATATTGTAGCGATCCTTTATATCTCTTGAAGTCTTCCCGGCAGGTGTAGTAGTAGAAATCAGGACAGCATGGCTGAATCCTCACACAGGTTTATTGCCCTTTGTAATTAACAGGTGCGTGCAAGTCTCTACAGTTGGTAGCAGTTAGTTGCCTATATACAGTACTGTATAGTGGATGTACAGGAGAAAATGACTTAGTTATTTCTAAACATCGTACACCTTTTGTTTGTTATTACAAGCCGTAAAATAATCCAGTCCATTCATTTTTTAAATTATGCCAGTATACATAAATTACATAATATACATGCAGATAGATACTGTATAAGTCTCCCAGGAAAGCTGAAAAACTTTGTAACTATTTTTCTTTTTTACAGAACTCTGATTCTCTGATTATAGTAGTGAGCTGTTCACCACATTCTAGCCATGAAAAACTGTAGAAAAAAATGATGAATGGTGTCCCTTACCTTCCAACCACATGCTGCCTGCGTGTGTGTCTCTCAACTATCCTCGAGGGCCCTGTGATCAACAGACTTATAGTCTCATCTTGTGCCCTGTGTCTCCTGGTTAGGCTCTTGATTTCCGCAATCATTACCATATGATTAAATTACTTATAACTAATTAACACTGGACTCGTGAGTGCTTTATACAGGACTTGGCATCATCATTATAACTAAAGTATTCTTAGAGTGAGCTACAAGTCTAACAAGTCATTATTGTTTTTTCTCCTTTATCCCAATTGCTTAAACATACTGTAGCTGCTACTAGTCTGGTAACACTCACCATGATCATTTAAAGGTATCAATGCATTCATTATGTTCTGCTTTTCAATTTGATAGATGGCCAAGAATCATCCAAACAAAATAACTTCTCTGTACAATACATTTTAAAAAACAGTTCAAATGCGGACACACTTGATCCTGAAAAACTGTCGATTTGCAGTGTCTGTAGTATCTTTATGAGAGTGAATGGTGAGGGAGGAGGGACATCAGGTCATGTCCACCGAATGTTGTTTTGCAAGTGCCGCATGATCAGTGTCCACAATCCTCGTCAGGTCCTCCAAAACCTTTGTCTGTTGCCAGATGGACAGAGGAGCATCTCCCATTTCCTTCCTCCATTGATCCGTAAAAGATTCTCTTGGATTCTGCCCTGCAGTTCCAAAGCTGTACATACTGCACAGTAGGGTGCTCTTCAGCAGAACCTTCTCCTCGTGTGATGCCAGTTCTGATTGCTCTTGTTGCTCCTCTCTGGTTATGAAATACCACTTGGGTAAGACATTAATACTCAAATCTTAAACACTGATCAGGAAGACAAAAACTCAACTGAAATCTATTGTCCTATGTGCTAATTGTCAGTTTATGGCTTTTATTAAAAAAATGAACATTTATTAGTGATGTGAGGGTTTTAATTTACTGTAACAATTTGAAATTGGAAGAGTAAATTGTGACAGTTCCTGACCAATTGTTTAGGAAATAAACAATTTACAATCATACACAAGTTCTAAATAAACAATATATAGAATTTATAGATATTACATTAAAACATGCATAACAAACTCAATAGAATATATTTGTGAAACAATATGAGGGGGGAAAAAGACTGTCAGGAGTCTGTCTCAGAAGTTAAAAGAAGTTTTTATTTCATGCGCATGGGAGCAAAACACACAGAGATGCTCTGTGTTTTTTTCTCAAAGTAATTAAACTAGAACAGTCCTTACTTATCTTTCTGTTATCTATTACGCTTCCATGTGGTTACAAGAAGTTCCAAAATCACACATCCCTATTTGCTAAAGCTAACCTCTTTTAATACAATTGGTTACTTAGGTTCGTAGCACACCATTCCTATATAACGGTTTATAATTACATAGTAGCCCTTGTGTCCAGCTTTCTTCCAGTTCAGTTCAAACCAGTTCTGAATGTCCAGCTTATAATATATTGCATCTTCTGCAGGAAAAAGTGTGTAAAAGTTTAGAGACCCTCTCAACATGTCATTTTGCTTGGATCTGGCCACAGGGAAGATGTGTGGGGAGATCTCAGTTCGTCCAGGCTATAGCTTCACACTAGGATATTCAGAATATCAACAAAAGAGTCTAATTGTCTTATTGTGTTGGTCAGGTGAAATAGTAGTGGGTTCTCTAACACAAGATTGCTTCTTCAGAAAGATTTTAGAAACCATATTGGGATGAGGAGCCAGTGTGTTCACCAATGAAAAACAAGTTTGTGATAGCTTTTAAGGCGTGACATCACAGCTGGTGAATGGTTGAGGTGCCATCAGGTGTAGCTCTGCTACCCACCCACGTCCCCATTCGTGCTTCTTCCTTTGGGTGATGAACAGTGACTTTAGACCCGTACTCTTGGGTAGAAAACAGACTACAGGCTCCCTGGAGCCCATCTGCGCTGTATATCATTTGATGTTCAGCACTGGACACAGCTTTACAATGCTTCTTATCAGAGGGGCCTCTTAAAGACATCCCTCTACATTTACACAGGTCACGGAACAAAATGATCTATAGAAACCTTAGTAACACTTAATTCTAAGTGAAACATTCTGCCTTACTGCTGCATTCCTTCTTCAATCGTCTTTTTCTAGATTTCATGTTTTACTTTCTGATACTGTACAACCTATGAAAAAGGGAAAAAAAGATTTATTTTTTGCTTGTTATTGTATTAACTACGTACACCTACAGGACAATATGATCAGTATTGTTTTCTTATTTAGATATATTATATTACACCTCATTTTATATATCTGAATAATGATTTAGAACAAGACTGGCAAAGTATGGCGGCCTGACGTGAGTGAAGGACTTGCTTGCAGCACGTTAGTACCTGTTGCATACTTGATTCAAGACACAATCTAGACAATAACCTTGATCTTCTGTGTATCCTAACTGGAAGATGAACATAATATTGTGTGTGTATACTCTGTTTATGTAGAATGACCCTACATGAAGCTCCTGACATCTGCCAGGTTTCCTGCAAGTGTTGATTTGATTATATTGAATTTTCTGTAATAGATTTGAAAATTATGTGCCAAAGAGCGGGTTGTTTGTTTCATTAATGGCAGTATCTGGTTTCCTCTTCTGTAACCTAAGACAGACAGCAGAAACTCACCCTCTGGCTATGGTAGTGTTGTCGGTGATTTCTCTTTCTCTTAAGCATCCTGTTTATCTGCTGGGTCACTTATTCCTTCAGCTGATGCTATTGGTGGTGTTAATGTTGATTGGACAGTTTTATCTGCATGAGAAAAGACGTTCCCAAATTATCAAATTATGATGAAGCCTCATTGATTAATATAAAAATAGTGAAAATTATGTCTGTGTCAATATTAATTAAAAGACAAAGAACAGGAAGCCCAATATCAAAATAATTTAAAGTCTAATAAAGGAGAGAATTGTTTCATACGGTGCTGTTTTTACAAAGTGTGTGCATGGTACATTACAAACTTCTGCTTATACTCCAAATATGTTAAAAAATATTAACTACTTCAATTACATAAATTGGAATGCACCTATATATATTCAGCTGAAAGAAAATGAGAGATATTTAACATTTGCAGATCTTTCTCTGTTAAATGTTACAATATTATCAAATATTGTATTCGTAACAGGAAAGTTTTGAGACAAAGAGCATATTTGTTGAATGTTTTAATGTAAGCACCCAGATTCTTCTCATATATTCTTACAGTCTAAGG